CATCTAACATATTATGTTGTCAAAGAACATGCACATTAAGCCTATATTATCAAGACGAGTATTCAGCTACAGTATCTTTGTAAAATACTAAGCCATCGGAATCGGATCAAAATGTTATGGATAGTAACACATGTGACTTTGGTACATGCTTCAAGTGTTTATTTCATGTTCTGTTTAACTTAATAAACCATTAATTAGCAAATAAGCAAACGCCATTCACGAGGAAAGATAACAATCCTTTAATCCCAACTTCTCCTTTTTGGATGCGTTTTAGGCAAGAGATGGCCACAGTAATCAGCATTGACAAAAATAGAACCACAATAAAGAAAAGATTAGAGGCCTTCATTGACCTAACTATATTATAATAAGAAAAGATTATCGAAAGCCTTAATGATGTGGATTTGGATGTGAGTAAAACGAATTCTGTCATTGTTTGATATGCCTTTGCCATCACAAGTAACCAAAACAAAAGCCCTTTTGTCAAAGCAGCAAAAACAAAATTAATCGAAAGAGACCTTTGATATAACTTAAACCTTCTTCTTTCTCTCTCTCTCTCTCTCTCTCTCTCTCTCTCTCTCTTATTATTATTTTTTTTCAATTAGCGGGTAATGGTGAGGTCACCTTACTAATTCATTCAATCACCTTTTTATAATTGCATGCACTGGCTCAACTAAAGCAAGGCAATTAACAAAAGCACTTTTTTTTTTAATTGGGGGGAACAACAAAAGCACTTTTAAGTTCAAAATTAACGTTGAAATCTTAGGAGAGAGGGGCTGAGCCACTCTATATGATTGGGTTGCGGCACCAAATTTTTGTAGAAGGGGGAAAATCTCGTCCTAGTTTTCTGTGCTCAGCAACGCAATTCACCTATAAAGATCCATGTGACCTTGTCCAATGTCTATTTCCCCTTTTTATTCTCTTGCTTCAGAGGAATCTTACTTTATATATATATATAGTTTTTCCCTTCTTTGATTTAATGGTCACGATTGTTTGTTGGTACGTCTTCTTTAATTTGAACCAACAAACATCAAACTTTCCGTAAAGTAGTATTTTTTTGGGTAGATTATTGCCTATTTTACTGATCATCCATCACCTCTCTCTCTCTCTCTCTCTCTCTCTCTCTCATATTATTGGATAACATTGAAAAGTCCTTGTTTCATTCCATACTTGTACATATATATATATATATATATATATACGCTCTGAAATTCCATGATTTCCACAGTGGTGTGCTTTGATTTTTCTGGAGTGTCTTCATTGTAATGAAAGGGCAAATTTTGTCGTGAAGGTTTAATATAATAATGCATGCCCTAACGCCCATGAAGTGTCAAATATACTTTGTCTTCCAAAGTTCTTAATATTATAAAATTGGTTGTCCTCTGAAAGTTTGTGTGCATATATGCCTTATCAATGTGCCAACAAAAACCAAATATCATCGCTTGTTTTTGTATGGCAAATAATATGACTTCCATACAAGAGTGGTGTCCATTTTCATTTTGAATTTGTTTTATATGTGACAGTAACATCACGTCAATATGTCACATATACAATTTATTCATTAATTGTTTCAGTAAGAATGTATATATATATATCATATTTAAGCACGAAAGAGGATTAATTTTAAGTTTTTATATAATGCATAACATGATCCTAATTAATAAAAGAATACACAACTTGTCATACAAGATAATATTATCTCATTTATATATAATAAAGAAATATGCATGTTTTAAGGACACTTATTTTGGACCCTCACCAAACTCAAAAATAGTTCCTCACTATTTTTAAATAAAATAAATGATTATTTACCCAATGCCAGAAATAAAGGGGGGAAAAATACACTCAACTACCAAATATTTGTATTATTGAATGGTCGTATTGTAATTTGGGAAGGCAGGCACTAGGACAAAGGGGTAGCCACGATGAATCTTACTAGAGAAAAAGTTTTTATGGTGGTGGTCCATCCACATTGCATACCCGTTTGCATGTATGTATGATAAACATGTGGTATGTCATCGCATAGACCATGTTATACAATTCCACACTATTCTTATTCTATTTTAATTTATACACTTACCTAACCGTTATTCCGTTATGGCCCAAAATTAAATGATCATGTCTGCCATGTATCAAACCCAGTGGCTTAAAGTTTTTAAAAATAAAAAAAATAAAAATAAATGATTGTTTATTATTGATGGGCAAACCAAAGTACAAAGCAAATATGTGCTAAATATGGGTATATCTTCTCCAGTGATCAAATACAACAACATGTTGAATTGATTTAGAGAGAATCACGCACAACTCAAACAATGACTAAATCCCCGATTCAGCAACCAAAAACACATGTACTCATACCTACAATATAAATCCGCCATGCAACGACAAAAATGACAAATTTGTATCGAAAGCCGAAAGCCAAAAGCCAAAATCAAAAAAGAAAAAAAAAATCCTAAATATAAAACAAATCACAACAAACTTTTAAAGAGTTTCTGAAAATTATTAGTCTAAAACAAAGCTAAGAAATAGGATCACCATTCCACATCTTCCAGGCAACCCGAAGAAAATCATAGCATCATACCAGATAAACCCATAGTCCAACACTAGCTAAACCCGAACTCAATGCAAGCAGACATCTTCTCCTCTTTAGAGATCCAAACTATGTTGAAGGGAGCCAACTCCTTGTGTGAGTGGGCCAAAATACAATGACTATATCATGGTGTTGACATCGTTTCACAGTGATTGCTTCCACATCACAAAATAAACTAACAATCTTGAGGCAAAAGAGAGGGAAGGAGAAAAGAAGGGATGAAAGGAGAGGGGATGAGGTAGGAAAGGACCCGCCAACCCCCAGAGGAGGCGGCGACTAAGACGTTTTTTGTTAGGGTTTTCTCAGAAAGTGTGCCTAGATTTCACAGTCAACTCTTCCTTTTTAATTTTTTCTTTTTTTTTATAATTCAAGTGATAGTCTAATTTACAAAGGAGAAGGAGTTTTTGTCACACAAACACTTTAAATGTGTCGTGGAAGTTCTAATCTGAGACCACTTATCTGCAAGTCAAGGTCATTATTCAATGTGCTACCCTGTTGACTCATCTTCCTCTTCTATTTTATCACATTCACTTCTCATTATGCAATGTTTTTTTATACTCATAATCGCCATTCTTTATAGATCATCTATATTAAAAGTAAATCAAATCAAAAATCATTTAATCATCCAAATAATATTAGATGAATGGAAGAAATATTCAGTTATCAAATTGTGATTAACAATATCTAGTTTAGTTTATTTTTTCTACAAAAATAGTTATGAAAGAATAACCTACGAAATGAACGATTTCAATCATCATATACTTAAGATTACACACTGCGAAGAATAATGAAGAAAGTAGAAAAGATAAAGAATATCTAGCATTAAGAAGTTGAATTTGTTCTTTTTCATTTTGATGACTAGCTAAGTGATGGTTACTAAAAGCGCAATTTAACCACCGGCAAAAAAGAAGCAGCAACTTAACCGAAGCCCTATTTTGCTAGCCCTCTTAGGTTACGTTTAACTGCATGGTTAGAAACTACCAGCTACTTTGTCACATTTGTAGAGGTGGGGAACCTTGCTCCAAGTCATTAAGTAAGGTAGAGCTCGTGTAGTTTGTTTTCTAGCCTTGATGACATGGTGATATCAGTCAAAAATTCAAAGCTGTTGGAGCAAATTATAATAAAGGCGAAAGCTATATGTGCAAAGTGAATTTGGTTGGTAATTAAGCCGCAATTAACTCAGTTAAAAGAAAGGGCTTGTAGTTCCGTGATTAAAAATATTTACTCTTACACCTAATTAAAGTCATATATTCGATCCCCCTCTCTAAATATCGTTTGTATTAAAAATTTAAAAAAAAAACTCAGTTAAAAGATAAAACTATGTGCAATACGGAATCAAATTGTTATAGTGAAGTGATTGTGAACGACCACAATCCGTGCATATGAGTTACATTAGCTAGCAGACATTACTCTTGTACTTTGATTGCAGTTATTGTACTATATACTCTTACACCTACTATTGTAGGCCTATAAATCCTACCCGATTTAAAAAAGTATTGTTTTTGCCCAATTTGTAGAATTCTTGTGGTCCTATCAAAAACTCAAATTAATTAGGGTATTCAATAGTGATGTGCACCTGATTCATAGAAGAAGAGAAGATTTAATGATTGTTGATGGAAACTCATCATATGATATTATCGATCGATATTCACTACTTATTAATTTTGCTTTTTTTGATAGTTTTTATATGCATTTCTTTTTTTTTTCATCTAAATTTTTTTACATCGTACATTCTTACCCTTTCTTTTACTTGAACGGATAAAAAAATTTCATTTTAATTTAGAATTAGAACGTCAAGAGTGGAACTCTTGCGACAGATATAAAGGATAAGGACGTTAATCTTACTATTGGTAAATCTTGTTTTGAAGCTGAGTCCACGCCATTACCATTGGCCATCACTTTTGCAAACTAATTATGCTTTCTTAACGTGCACAAATCATCATCAACTCATTGGCAATTATGGAAAAAAAACAAATGGATCATGGTGGCATTTCCGATGTTGTGAAGTAAAGACAAGGGTAAATAAGTACGTCCCGTTCCTCACCGTTGATAATCATACGGTTAACAAGAGTTAAAAGACCCGTTCAGAGCCAAACGGAATTCATCGAACCAAAAGGTACGATTTTTATAACTGCCCGTAATTCAGTGAGTCCCGTTCTAACTTCCACGACCGTACAGCCTCTGAACCTGTACCGTCGTAGGCAATCATTTCCCCCTCCTGTTATCTTCAACTTGCAACGCATCCACGTGGCGTGGATTTATTAGACGAATGTTCGGTGCACCCCAGATCTACGTAACGGCGCCGTCAAATCGCCCGTTTTCAGATTCCCCGTCATTGTTAACGGAGTCTGGACCACCACGCAACCTTTGCCCCCCCGCACTTATAAACCAAATCAATCGCAGCCGTCCAACGGCCTCGTCATCATCATCACCATCATTATCATCATCGTCATCGCTCACTCTCTCTCTCTCTCTCTCTCTCTAACTCTCGCTCTCAGAAACTCAAAGCGAAGAGCGCTCTGGAGAGAGAGAAATGGTGATGAGGAAGTGAAGTAGCGACTAGCGGTAGAGAAATAGAGGCGACAGCGATGGAGGTGGCTCGAGCCGCCACGTCAGCGACAGCGAAGAAGAAGAGGAAGATCAACACGAACGGAGAATCCGTCGAATTGCCGTCTTCGTATGCGCAGCTGAAGAAGCCGAGACGACTCGTCGTAAGTGGGGCGTCGAAAATTGCGGCGGCGGAGGGTGTGCGGGAAGCCGAGGACGACGACGTTTCGACGTCGGATCACGTCGAGACCTCCTGTTGCTCGAGTAACGGCTCGAGTGAGCTGGTGCATGATGGAGACATAAAATTCGTAGATCTGAAGGTGAACGATTTAATGGAAGTAATTAAATTCGGCAATAAATTCAATTATCCCCTACAACTTTCGGAATTTTCGGTTCTTTTTTGTGGCGCTTTTATTGCTTGAAGCTTTCATTCAATTTTCACGTCTCTTTATTGATTGAATTTTTAAATTAATTATTTTGTTGCAGAAGGAGAGTGAACAGGTTGGGTCGTGGAAGCATAATTCAAGCAGAGAAAGGTTTTCATACATACATTATATATATTCATCCAACATTTATTACTGTAATTCAAGCACTCTTATCTTGAATTCAAAATTCAAAATTTCAATTTTCTCTGCCTTTCTCTCGCGCACTCAAATGTATTTAAGTTCGCATACTGTGTCTCAATTCTTTGCTCTATCCTTGTGTTCGCTCTATCTTGCTGCTGCAGGAGAGAGATGACGGCGCCTACGAGCGGGATTCAAGCCGAAGCAGAATTCGAGGAAGTAGAATCCACAGTGACCGTGAGGTCCAAGGACGCCGACTCTCGACGAAGATCAGCACCACCTATCGACTCAGAGCTTGAAGAATTCTTCGCAGCCGCCGAGAAAAACATCCAAAAACAATTTATGGAAAGGCAAGTTCAATATATATTTTTTTAATATTTTTGTTAATTGTACAAAACTTGAAGCTTCTACGTTGGCTCTTGTCCAATTGTCATGAAAATTTCTGAACTGATAATTGCAGGTATAATTATGATATTGCCAAGGACGAGCCGGTGGAAGGACGGTACGAGTGGGTTCGATTAAAGCCGTAAAAGAAAAAGGAAAAAAAAAGAAGAGGATCAATAATCCTCATGCAAATTATTTTGTTAATTTCATCAGTGTCTAGTTTTTTTTTTTCTTTTGTTTGTTTGTTTGTTGGGTTTAATATTCATGTACAGCAAGCTGTAGCTCTTAAATTAGTTAATTTAGAAGCAGAAGAAGAATCTGATGGAGGAGATGGGGAGTTTTGTTTCTGCGAGTACGATCGAGAGAGTATCGAAGAGAACAAGATCACAAAAAGCTTCTAGAATTCTACTCTCCCTTCTTCTTCACATTTGGTGTCTCATTCTCTCTTCAATTTGGCCTATCTATCAATCTATCTGCTACTGTCAACTGTTTCTTTCCTTCTGTGCACCAACAACACTACGTGCCGATGCAGTCAATATTTTTCAGTATTTTTCGGCGTCAATTGCCTTAAATATTTTAATTTAAAAATAAATAAATAAATTTATGCAAAGCCATATGGCATGTAAGTTACTGACACGTGTCTTATCCCATCGAATCCATCGTCAACAACCACCAAGTCGATTTATTTCCAAATCCCAAGTAAAAACAAGAAAAGAATATTTACTATTACAAGAAAGAGTTTTTAAAATAAAAATAAATAAAGAACCCTAACTGGGGGAATAATTTAATTAATAACAGTTTGTGGAAACATTGGGTTCTGAAATGCCGGCATCTGGATCAGTCAGTGAGTCAGTCAATCAGTCAGGTCAATGTTTTTGTGTATGTGCTAGAAAACAGTTAATAAGACCAGAGAAGGCAAAATGAGGAAGTTTCTGTGCAAAGAAGGATGCAATATTGTGATACGTTTGGCGAGGGAGGTATGATCTGCTGCTTGCTTTAAAGGTTTTTTGTTCTTTTCATTTATGGTTCTTGGAAATTTGTTGCATTTGGATTATATTGGAGGGTTAAAAACAACAAGGAGAGAGAGAAGAGAGACAAAATAAGGGTTTGTTGAGATTCTTTCGGATTCTCTTGACTCTGGTAATATTTGGCCTAGCTGCATACCTCGCTAGGTTTTGAACTGTAAATATTTGTTGATACGTCAAGCATCTTCAACCTGTAATTCCTGGAAAGGGAATTTGTGATTTTTCTAGCTAGTTCTACCGGTAATGTTTGTACTTTTGCGATTTTTAAATCAAAGAGAGAGAAATGAAAGATAAATAAAAAAAGAAAACCAGCGAGATAAAATAAAAAGAAAGAACGACAATGTTGAAGAAAAAGAGTATTCACAAATTACACAAATCTCACTATAAATTAAAAGTGTAAAATGACCGAATTAGCATAAATATAGTATGAATCCGACACTACTAAAATGACATGAAACACGTTGAACAGACAAGAGCACGACACTTGTAATGAAAAATATGAGAATTTATTCCATCGGGGCTAAACCCAAATCTTAAAAAAGAAAAATGTTTCTTGATTATGAGTGGTATAGGAACAAGAGTAGAATGGTAACAAAAAAAAAGGGGAAAGGTAAAAGGTCGATAGAAATCTTAGAAAATGCAACATGTAAAAGTTTGTGCAATTTGCTTCTTCTATATGTAAAACAAAAGCAAAATGCAACTCAAGTGTAAGGTTATATATCCAGCGAACTTTTTATATTGCCATTAAAAGAAAAAGAACTTGTCTTGCTTTGCATTGTAGGATATTCTTTTTCTAGATCTGCCATTTGGTTGGGATGCTTCTCGTAATAAGTAATGAACGATGGAGAGCCCTCGGATGAATGGCTAGCAGTTGATTGTGACTGACCATGGGTTACCAACAAGAAAAAGAACCAAGTGAATTGGACCATGAGCTTAGATTTTATTTCATAATGGGCTAAGGTTTTAGGGCCTATCTTTTTTATATTTATAAAACCATTCTCATATTAAATGAGAATTTTAGGCCAAGTTGCAACTAGCAAAACCATTCCCAGCTGAGCATGATACACATCCAAAGAGGGCTGAGAGGGTGCTATTGCCCTCACTCAACAAATTGACCCTCCATTGATCTGTCCAACCGGGGACTAAGACAAGGGACAAGTGGGTAAGATGAAGGGCAAAGTGTTTGTTATGCCTCAAAGAGTTTGGGCAAGCAAGCAGCTAGTAGTTGAGCAGTGTATGCGGTTTTTTTTTTTCATTTACGAAAATATATTTTGAAGTTTCTTAATCTTGCCCCCATGAAGAAAAATTCATGAATCCGCTACTGGATGCATAATTTTACTTATGTACAAGCCGATTTAAATGGCTACATCTCATTGGAGAGCAACCCCACCTCATCAATCTGGTATAACCAAGCCCTCTGCCATTGTTGTTACATTTGCCTTGATATCCAATGTAACATAATTTGTGTCAACAAATGGCTTAAGAAGGGGGCAAAAGAAAAAATGTATTGGCAACCCCACCTCATCAATCTGGTATAACCAAGCCCTCTGCCATTGTTGTTACATTTGCCTTGATATCCAATGTAACATAATTTGTGTCAACAAATGGCTTAAGAAGGGGGCAAAAGAAAAAATGTATTGGCAACCCCACCTCATCAATCTGGTATAACCAAGCCCTCTGCCATTGTTGTTACATTTGCCTTGATATCCAATGTAACATAATTTGTGTCAACAAATGGCTTAAGAAGGGGGCAAAAGAAAAAATGTATTGGCAACCCCACCTCATCAATCTGGTATAACCAAGCCCTCTGCCATTGTTGTTACATTTGCCTTGATATCCAATGTAACATAATTTGTGTCAACAAATGGCTTAAGAAGGGGGCAAAAGAAAAAATGTATTGGCAACCCCACCTCATCAATCTGGTATAACCAAGCCCTCTGCCATTGTTGTTACATTTGCCTTGATATCCAATGTAACATAATTTGTGTCAACAAATGGCTTAAGAAGGGGGCAAAAGAAAAAATGTATTGGCAACCCCACCTCATCAATCTGGTATAACCAAGCCCTCTGCCATTGTTGTTACATTTGCCTTGATATCCAATGTAACATAATTTGTGTCAACAAATGGCTTAAGAAGGGGGCAAAAGAAAAAATGTATTGGCAACCCCACCTCATCAATCTGGTATAACCAAGCCCTCTGCCATTGTTGTTACATTTGCCTTGATATCCAATGTAACATAATTTGTGTCAACAAATGGCTTAAGAAGGGGGCAAAAGAAAAAATGTATTGGCAACCCCACCTCATCAATCTGGTATAACCAAGCCCTCTGCCATTGTTGTTACATTTGCCTTGATATCCAATGTAACATAATTTGTGTCAACAAATGGCTTAAGAAGGGGGCAAAAGAAAAAATGTATTGGCAACCCCACCTCATCAATCTGGTATAACCAAGCCCTCTGCCATTGTTGTTACATTTGCCTTGATATCCAATGTAACATAATTTGTGTCAACAAATGGCTTAAGAAGGGGGCAAAAGAAAAAATGTATTGGCAACCCCACCTCATCAATCTGGTATAACCAAGCCCTCTGCCATTGTTGTTACATTTGCCTTGATATCCAATGTAACATAATTTGTGTCAACAAATGGCTTAAGAAGGGGGCAAAAGAAAAAATGTATTGGCAACCCCACCTCATCAATCTGGTATAACCAAGCCCTCTGCCATTGTTGTTACATTTGCCTTGATATCCAATGTAACATAATTTGTGTCAACAAATGGCTTAAGAAGGGGGCAAAAGAAAAAATGTATTGGCAACCCCACCTCATCAATCTGGTATAACCAAGCCCTCTGCCATTGTTGTTACATTTGCCTTGATATCCAATGTAACATAATTTGTGTCAACAAATGGCTTAAGAAGGGGGCAAAAGAAAAAATGTATTGGCAACCCCACCTCATCAATCTGGTATAACCAAGCCCTCTGCCATTGTTACCCAAGTAAAACGTGCGTATCTGCCATTTCCTATTTTATTTTTTCAGTGAAAATGATGCCTCAAGAGGATGAAGATGGCTCTGGTTCAGCTACTTCTGCACTCAATTGACTACTCACAACTTAGACATTTGTGTTATGTCCTTTTCTCACTGCTCTGCACCACATTTACAACCTGCAGTACCATCATGTCTTTCTGCCTGCAAATTTTGCAAGCAAGACCTCATGCTATTTTTACCATGATCCATGCAAGAATTTTTTACCCCCATTGAGAATTTACCCTTCTCTTTCAGTAATAAATAAACTGCAGGAAAAAGCTCAAGATGGTAGTGTTTAGCAAAGCTCATAAACTAATGATCTGACCAACAAGCTCAAATTCATGTCCTTTGAGAAATTAATTAGTCTAATGTGAAGGGGAAAAAAATACAAAAGGGAAGCGAGGAAATAAACTAAGGTTCATCCAGCACATCTTCGCTGGAGGTATAAGATTTAACTGAAACGCATATATGAGAAGCTTCATTCTGTATGGAGTGTGTCATCAAAGCCTTCACAACAAGCCGAAATCTCCTTCTGTAAGTAGGAAACTTTGAGACACTTCTCATCATTCCAATCATCCTACAAAGATAATCACCACGTGTAAACATGAATATTGAGAATTATAATTGCAGGGGTTTTAACTCTTGATCAAAATTAGTAACTTAATGCTAAGAAGAGTCAAACCTCATTTTATATTTAGAGAGACAAAATCATACCTTCTACTAATGCCCTCGATTTGAGCAGCTCTCAGAGCATCTTGAGGTGCTAAACTTCCATTATCCCAAGCCTCCATGCGTTGTGTATTGCCTCCAAAAAGAACCACTTTCTCCAAAAATCTAACCTCACCCTCTGCCAATTGTACCTTTATCTGTTCCTTCAGGACCATTATAGGATTAAAGAACCAGTCCAACAATTTATCATGCGGTCTATTGAAATGGTTAATTTCAACATCATCCAGTAACAGTAAACCAGATGAATTTGATCTGATGGAGCAGAGAAGAGTCTGCAAGCATGAATAACAAGGCAAACCGACACCGATAATAGATCCATCATTACTATTCTTTGCCTTCATCCATTCCTCGAGGTCGGTTGGGGTTATTACATTAGCATCCAACAGTTGCTTACCCCTCAGTTCGCAGGACCTCATCATATTTTCCCATATCTGTTGCATACAGAGTAAAACACAAGAAAATTTCTCATCATGAATCGAAACAAGTGAGAGAGTTAATTAACAACGAATTCAGAAGAAAGTCAACACAGCAAAAGATTATGTATCTGAGTACATTTCTTTTCATATTTCTAGGCAGTCACTAATTTGTGTAACCAATAATCTTTCAAAAAAAGGGACGGTGCATATGTGCATGTAATTTAACTCTCTTAACCCCCCCAACATATTAGTATTTGTGTGGTTCTTTTCGATTTTAGTTTATTGCCTTGTGTGGCTCTATTGGCACCCAAGTTTGTTCTCTAGGCAGGGCATATTTTTCTTTTGGTCAATATAAGACTGAAAGAAAGAGCCTTCCTGCCCTTCCTAGCCCTGCTCCCCCACCCCCTCTATAGGGTAAAATAGAAATTTTACTACACTTTTTGGAAGATTAAGTTTTTGTGTACAAGCAGAATCACTGATTGCCTTGTCAGTCATATCTCCCAAAAAGTTTTAGTGCATGACACATAGATTTCATATATTGACCATGGTCTCTAAAAGATCGCATGGGTAGTTGGGGGATATATTTTCTTAAAAGAAAATGAGGCAAAACAAATTCATTTGCAGAGAACTTTTGGTCAGAGATTGGTTTCAATACTCTAGAAAAGATACTGAATCAAAGTGTTCAGGCTCACAGTTAGTACTTGGTGAAAAAAGGAGAAGAAAAAACCACTTCTGCCTCAAAACCTAAAAGCATACCTGTACCATTTTCACTTCTTGTATTACGGCTCTAACCGATCTCGAATTGGCTATAGTTGGCATAAGCATTGCAGGTGCTTCCATAGATGGACTGAATTTGCCTCCAGCCACCTGATTTCCTCGCACAGAAAGCTCGGATGATTGAGAGACAGTTCTTTTTCGATAATTGGGCCTGGCTGCACATAATGAGAACACAACTGCTAAATATTTACAAGCAAAAGAACAAAATGTAGCTGCAGATTGCTTAATAAGCTCAAGAACAAAATTTTATAAGCAGGAAAGTGATTAACTTGGGGAAGATAGTTCCTTCGCGAAGATACAGCCAGTCATTTGTGTATTCATCAAATTCAGCCACCATTGCAATCACATAGGCCACACCTTTCCTGAAAGATCTTTCCTACATCCACAAATGGTTAGAGGACATATAATTTCAGTGATCATCAAAGGCCAAGGAGATAAAGATAGACTAAGATTTTTATAATCCGGTATGAGCAAACCTGATATACGATAACTGGTGCATACAATCCAATAAAAATGCTTGAGAAAACTGCCAATACGATGCTAGCAACAACCACAATTGGCCACAGAAGGATCGTCAAACCAGCAATAGGGATGCAAGCTAGTTCAAGAAATGGACCTTCTCGGCTAATTAGATCATGAATCAGCCGGTACCAGCCCTTAAACAGCATATATGGACTCTTTACAACAGCAATTGCAGTGTAAACAGGAATCTCCACCATTAGGCCCAATACACCAGCTATAATGCAGGCCGGAATGTGAATCAACCTATAAGATGTCTCCAAAAGAGAGATGAGTTCAGAATAAAATGGTTATTTGAGGTTTTGCAATATCTTCTGCCACAAATTTTGATGACTAAAAGGAAACTTTTTGGTGTGGGATTATAACACGATTACCTTAGAGGTTGAACTTCCTGTGAAGTGGGGGATTCGCGCAACTCCTTCAAATAGATTGAGTATGAGTGATAACATAGGTCTGCAAAGTCTCTAACAACAGTACAGCTTCCTTTAACAGTACCCCAAGTTCCATCCTAAACGTTCACAAGTGAAACAGAATGAGAAGTGCAAATCAGATACTAAATCAGACAGATAATTCAAAGAAGGAACAGCTTTAAGAATTTACCACAATACAATGTTTGAATTTCTTGAACTCATTGTCATGCCTAAAGGCCTCAAATGTAGCGACCCAGGGAGTGAAGAATCCATAGCCCACTCCCCCAAGAACACTCCCAGCTATGCTCAAACCCAACCATATTGCCAATAGGCCAGGCAAAGCAAACAAAATGGCAACTTTAAGTGGTGCGTCAAATCTATCAATCCTGCAATTGCCAAACATTGGAAAGAAAAAAAAAACATAGTAAATCTCTGCAAAATGAGATATTTGTTGAAATTTTTGAAAAGGGTAGTTCCAAAGCTACCAACTTTATAAGTGTGTAGATTGTCCAGGCAACATGCGCAGGAAACAAGCCCAAAATTATCCCCACATTCCCTAAAATCAGTATTAGAGCAGAAATAGGACCCACAAGAAGTCCTGCAACATTGAACAAAATCCAATGAAAATCCCAATTAAATTTTCAGCAGACACCATGCAAAAGTTGAAAACAAACCATCCCACAGTCCATGAATCACAGCCAAAAAGAAACGAAAAAAAAAAGACACCTTTTTTTCTATTAAAAAAACAAAACAAAACAAAGGACATACCTTTAAGAGCACCCAGACAGAGAGCAGAGCCGAATGCAAATACCACATAGAAAACCTTCAAACAACCGCGGAAAGATTGTGTAAAATCCGTACTAAAAAACGACCACAGAGACAGGAAGAGCTCCATTGGAGAGATTTTAACCGAAATTTGAATACCACCTTTCGAATTCGATTATGAATTTAGTCCCCGGTTGACAGCTATTGCAGGCATCCATGAAGAAAAGAATGAATGAATATATATTTATTATAATTGTTATTAATCAAAAGATTAGAGAGAGAGAGAGAGAGAGAGAGAGAGAGCTGAGATTTGTGCTGCAGGAAGATGACAAAGAATAAGAACAAAGAGTACAAAGAAAACCCAAGATCCAACCAAAATCAATAACCCCAGAAAGTTAGGAACCAAAGGGAACTATTCAAATTAAAGATGCAAAGAGACCTAGTTATGGAACCAACTAGTTTTTGGTTTTGTTGGCTTACTGGCCACTCTCTGATGAATCCATCAAAACGCATAAGCCCAAAATCCAAAAAGAACCAATTCTTTGTATATGCAATCATGCAAAATTAAATATGCCCTTGGATATACGTAGATTTTCTGTTGTGCAGCATCGACGTGATACTGACACTCTTATGCTGCACCAAGTTCTCACTGGATTACTAAAATGCATCATCCTTTATGTCACACAATACATTAATAATTAGTAAGTAAGATTACCCTTGACATAATAATTATTATGTTGGTTTATGTTTGTTTATAATCTTATATTATTGCTGGGTAGCTTGGTTTATGAGGATCTATGACATCTTCTGCTTAATACAAAAATAATTAACAAATAATAATTAAATATATGCGTATGTTTTCTTTTTAGTTTGTACACAATGTTTTATACATGAACAAAGCACAAAGCACAAAGCAAAAAGCCATTTGATGTTGTTTTCTTCCCCTCCCTAGGGAAGTAGTAGTTTAACATCAATTCGATGATTACGTTTGTACTATAATAATATATGGCAACCTTTTCAAAAGGGAGTCAATTTCTTGGGGAGAAATAACCAAATTGTTATGACATATGTTGACCAACGAACTAAAACTTTTTTATTTTATTTTATTTTATGTGAGATAATTAGCACACGGGCTGTGATTAATTATCACAATTCTTAGTGTTTAAGGAAAAGCAAATGACTCACTAGTGTAGTAGTTTGGAGGAATTACTCTCCAAGGAAAAATCATGAAGTCCTAACATTTGTGTATTATGTGTGTGAGTTTAGTATACTTTCACCCTCTCAATATAAAAGATCTGTTAAAAAAAAGAAGGGAAATACTTCATTCATCTATTTATTTGACAAAAATTGATAACTAATTTTGGAACATAAGACCGGAAGCGAAAAGACAATAAAGTACATACCTTGATGATTATCTTTAAAATAGATTGATACGTAGGCGCATCGTCAATATAGAGAAAATAAATTTATGCAGAGAGGGAAATCGAACCTAAGACATCAAATACATGGATAAATGCTTTTAACTACTTGAACTACAAACTTCTTGCAGGTATGTACCCTTTATATATAGAGAGATGACTTTGATTATCACATATCACATAATAGAAATGGAAATTACTTTGATTGCTTTGATTAATAGGATTCTTCATATAATATTTATCCCTATTTTGGTCATATCATATAGGCACACAAAATACTATTCAAATATTCTTACCCAAACAAATGGCTGCCTCTTGAGGACATGTGTAAGCCCCACAAGATGGTCCATTGACAAAGCGTTGTCGTTAAAGTCAGGCATTATGGTGCGCGGGCTTCGGGGCGCAAAGGGACTCATGGGGGGGCACGTGTCGGTCAGGAAGAGGTTCAGTTTTCTGTTGATTTGATATAAACAGAAGAAGAAGAGACACAAATCAATCCATGAAGCCAGAGCTTTAGCTCCCTAACAAAAAGGAATGGTGAAGAAGAAAGGGGTCGCTTTAGTATGGTCTTTGTTTCAACAGTTGTAAACGGTCGTTTTGGTGTTTAGGCAAAAAGACTATAGCAACAACAACAAAAATGTAAAAACCCCAAAAAAATCAGAAGAAAAAAAAGAGGAGAGAGAGAGAGAGAGAGAGAGAAACCCCAAGGAAAGGAGGCATGAAGCCAGGCCAGTCCTATGATATCTGGCTTTGTCTCTCCCTCTTTTGCTGGGCATAAACAGAAAGACAGACAGACAGACACCTGTGCCTGTGGTCCTGTGGTCCTGTGGTCCTGTGGTTTGTTAACACAAACATAAAGCGTGCAATTCAATCATGGGTCGGAATGTTGGGAAGAAAGAGACCCAATTGCACCAGGGAAAGGAGGAGAAGCCGCCTCAAACGCAGTCGTCTAAGGAGGAGGGACACCCGACTCCGGCTCAATTGTCCAAACCCAGGCCCAGGCCCAAACCCAACACCAACCCAAAACCTTCTCCTCTCAATCCGGTCTGCTCCTGACCTCTCTCTGTCTCTGTCTCTGTGGTTATCTTAGAATGTTTACATGGTTTTTTATTATTTATTTTTCAATGTAATTGATGTGGGTTTTTTGTGCATTATGGAATAGGCAAAGCTGAAGAAGCCAAACAAGCCAAACGAGAAAGAAGTAGAGCATTCCATGCCCATGAAGGAGCTTTCCAATACCCAAATTAAGAATGTATGGCTCCCCTTTCATTTTTTGAAGTCTAAATTAAACATTTGGATCAATTTCCATTGTGTTCATATAATTGTGGATCAAGGCGTGATGTAGCACAATGGAAAATCGTTTCTTTTTTGTGCTTCACCTCCTCTTTTCTTTCTTTTTCTTTTTTTGGTCATACAATGTACTTGCATGCTAACATATAGAAGCTTTGATGGATCAAAATTCTTATTTGAGTAAGATAAGTTCATAGGAGTACTGGTTAGAAGCCATCATTGTTATGGATTAGCAAAAAGGGTGCAATGTATTTAGGTTATATGTTTCTTCTTATTGTGTTTTTAATCGAACTTCTTATTGTGTGTTTCACTGGCTTGACTTGCAAGCTCTAGTTCTGTAAAAAGAAAATGTTTGTATGGATGGAATGGAACTGTTCCTTATGATTGGATTGCGGGAATTGATGAAATTTTTTAACAAATGTTTGAACGGCAGATGTTGGGTCAAGCAGGGAAGTCCCCAGCCCTTAGGTCAGTGAAGCATCTTGTATGGCCTTTGTGTACTTTGGCCCTCTTTGTTTGTCTTTTGTACATGCGCTTCATGATAATGTTGTCTCTGTGCTTTCTTTAAAGCAATACGCAGTATGAGTTTCCAGTTGATGGTTCACCCTCACGAGGTCAAGCAAAGTCATCTGCTGTCATTCAAGCACAAGAAGTTCGATCAAAACTAGAGCCTCGATTTCCTAGCTTTGTGAAATCTCTGGTCAGATCACACGTCGCTAGTTGTTTTTGGATGGTAAGTACAGTTAAAATAGATGACTGTGGGAACATTATTTATAATAGCAGTGGTATATAAATGAATACCCCTTCTCTCTGCGCCCCCTATATTTTTTTTTATGTATTCTGTGTAATAGGGGCTTCCTTCGCTGTTCTGCAAATCACACTTACCAGATAAAGATATTACAATGACTTTGGAAGATGAAAGTGGTAGACAGTGTCAGTTGAAATACATTGCATACAAGACAGGACTGAGTGCTGGTTGGAGACAGTTTGCTGCTTCGCACAACTTGATTGAAGGAGATGTTCTTGTCTTCCAATTAGTTGAACCCACCAAATTTAAGGTAATCGTTTGAAACTTTACACCCAAAATCACAAGAAAAGTGTAGGCTGCATTGTACTAGTTAGGAACAGTTGTACGATGGCACAAGTAAAACCCTACAACAATCGTGCATTGTCAATAGGTGTAACCTGGTCCAAAACTTCTCACTTCTGTTTAAGCTAGTCATTATGTATTCACAATTAACCTGTGCAGCTTGATATGACCCTGTTGTCTGGAAGATGAAAATTCTTTTCCTTAAGGAGTGTTAGTCCTATAAATACTCTTCTTCATCTGCTCCCGAACAAACTAGAGAACTGAGACTAACATGGTCTGTCTTCTGATTCAGTTGCCACCATTGACTAGGACCAAGACTAGTGCTATGTTTGTATTCCTGCCTTGCCATGTCAGTGAAATTCTGATGGAGTTGGTGCAACATTCCCTTGTCAATTTTTTCCATGTTGTTTACTTACTATTTCTGTTGAATTGTGATGGAAGAATACGCATGAAGCATCACAAAAGGGGTTCAGATAGATCAAGATTTTGTCTGCTTTTGCTCTTGTGCACTTCTGAAAGTTTACTATCTATAATTGTATCTTCCTCCATCTTGTAGGTTTACATAATAAGGTCAAATGATTTGACTGAAGTTGATGGGGGTCTTGGGCTTCTAAATTTGGATAGTCATACAAAACGAAAGGATGCAGGCAAGTTCATTGATGTCTCTGTCTGTTTCTTCCTAGTATCATGCATTTGTAGTTTAATTTGTACTTTTATTGACGTGTCTATCATTTTTCTTGGATGTTGCACTCAGATAAAGATAATGCAGAAACGGGCACTGAGGCTTGTAATGATGCTACCAGGAAACGTGCACACTCTCCTCCTTCAGAAGCGCAAAAGAAGAAAAAGATTGGCTTGCAGCCGGTTGAACAATCTGAAGATGATAGTGACGAGGTTGATTCGGAAGTTTTGGAAGAATCCAAATCACCAGACACAGCTCTTCAATTTGAAGACATCCAAAGTTTTGAGAACTTCAGCATTCTAGTAAATGGGTTGCTTGTAGATTCCGAGCTCCCCGAAGATGTAAGAAGAAAGTACTACAAGCTCTGCTGTAGCCAGAATGCATTTCTTCACGAAAACGTTGTCGAGGGCATGAATCATAAATTGGTTGTAGGTGCTATATCTGAAACCGTAAATATTGCTGATGCCATCAAGGCTTGCAAACTTACTACGACTTGGGATGATTTTGTGTCTTGGGACAAATATTTAAAGGCCTTTGAGCTGTTGGGGATGAATGTTGGATTTTTACGTGATCGGCTATGCCGGCTTGCAAACCTTTCCAACGACTCAGGAGCTGCTGTGGAGGCAAGGATGTATAAAGAAGCTAAAATTGAACGATCACAAGCAGGCATAGGAATAAGAAATATTGAGGTAAAGCTTGAGGAATTGAGG